TTAGTTTAGCAGACGCTTTTATCCAAAGCTACCTACATTTTTCAACAGTGACATCATTCTGCTGACCCTGGGATTTGACACGGCGACCTTCCCCTCACAGGCACCAAACCGCACAGTTATGTCCTAAGTCAGTGTGCCCCACACCGGCCCATGTCTCCAGCCCCCAGAGGCGGCCGCATGATCTCCTACCCGGCGTGTGTGAGGTGATGACATCCGCCAACGCGGGTTCCGGGGACACCGCCTGCTCGTTGTCGGACTCCTGCAGCCTGTCCACCATGGCGATGATGCAGTTCAGGCTCTTGGCCACATTTGTCCACACTCTGTCCTGGAAGCATCCGGAACAACCAGCATGAAGCTCCGTTCCTACATGACATGATAACATCGAACTCCAAGAACGCAATCCTCAGTCTCGGCATGTCAGTCGGCAGTGGAGCAGGTTTGCCTGTTTTACTGAGGCGGATTCGGTACCTTCTGATACACTAATCAGCTTGTTGCCCAGGTGCCTTCAGTACATGTTGAGGTACGTCACCATGAGGTGTTTTTGTTTTACAGACGGAGACATTTTCGCTCAAAGGGCCCCACTACTGATGTATGGTGCGGTCAAGATGATTACAGGTTCGAGAGCCATTCGGCCAAAGTGGAAGCGATTATGACTTGCAGGCAGGATGGACAAATGACCACAATTATCCTGAATGAGGGTGGGGGGGGGGAGCACTTGCCCATTCCTCCTCATCGTAGTCCACGCGAGGGGGGACGGAGTTCTGCCTCTTCAGCAGCGCAGGGCCGTCCTCCCTGGGGGGGGAGCCGTTGGTGCCCACACAGTCGGTGACGTAGTCGGGCCGTGCTGCATGCAGTGCCAGGAGGGCGGTCTTCACCAGCTTGTCCTTCAGGGCATGGACGAACCGCTCCGTCTGTGAAGATGCAGCGATCCACGAAACCAGGAAGACAACAACGGCGATTCACACATGGGTAACAGGCCCCAGTTACATTAAAGGGAGCTTGAAAGAACATCAGAGGAAACTTAAAGGTCAAATACATCTTAGGTGTAACTATGAAATAATGTATGCGGATCGTGTTTTGCTCTGTGAGTTCATGCGTCTTGAAGTTGGACATTTGCGGTCTAGGTTATCGGATGAGTTAAGCAAATGTCAAATGTGGCTGGCGTATTTACAAAAACAAAACAGTTGAAATGCTTGAGCAAAAAGACGTGCTTTTTTTCTGTGACCTTTTCGTCTTATTTTACATTAATTCAGATGGAGGTCCTACCCATATAAGGGCTTTCGAAGCAGCGGCCTACAGGAAACAGTTTTCTGATAGACATGCGAGACGCAGACTGAGAATTTGGCAGCTCGTCTTTCAGCCTGAGACTGATTGAGGACGCCCACATAGTCTCTGCTCCCCCCCCCCACATCCCCAAGCTCCTCCCAAAACTCACATCCATATGCCACCCTTCCATCTCAGGCACTTACACTCTGGAGTACCGCCGTGTGCCAGTTAGCCCCTCTGCTTATCTTCCCAGTCAAATTTCCCAGCCCATTGATTATTCATTGCATTTTCGCCTGCAGCTGAACAGAGGCCCTGGACTGTTTTCACGGGCTGTGCATTATACGTGCTGCAGATTTCCCCGCTGTTTCCACATCCATATGCTTGCTTTACTATTAGCGAGCTTAAACGTTTTAAAATCTGCAGCCCGGGGAGATGAAAGCCAGCCTCAGGCTGATCCTGAGCAGGAGATCCTTGCTCCAGGTTGCCCTCATGCCTTTTCATTTAAGATGGAGATCTGTGCCACCATTAAGTGGCTGCTCCAGAGGCTGCGAGATCCTCCCACGAGGCCGCAGAGCAGCTTGCGCTGTTGCGGTTCTTCGCTCACTGAGACTGGGATCTCAAGGCTCCTCCCTGAACCACTAAACCTGAAAATGTCAGGTCATACTCCCTCTCACAGCGTGCAATCGAGGGACTGCACAGTGCCCAGGCTTCCAGATCATTCTTTGTATTGTTCGTATGGAAGGTCACGTAACTTCAACCTAGCTCGACTCTGAAGCCACGCCCAGTGTTTATTCTGAGGGCGGCAAACTCAGACTTGTAGGACTCAGCCTGTCCCAAGAGTCACTTCTTTGAGTGAAGGGACAGAATTAGGGCCTCACGAATGTGACTCACGAAAGAATCATGATTCTTTTGCTTAGAACTGAGATCACTATTTTTTCTCAAATTTAATTGTTTATCGCACTCATTAAATTGCAAAAGGAAATGTAACAAGAACCAAACGTGACTGTGCCAAACATATGTCCGATATGAACCAGGACCGGCAACTTCTGACAACAGAAAGGAAACACTCAAGTGGCCATTCAGTTAGGGTGACCAAGACAGCCGCACCGAAAGTTCCACTACCGAAAGTGCAAGGGGGGGACTTTTTTAGGTTCTTCGATACTTTGGGGAGGGACTTCAAATGCTTTCTTTGTAAACTGGTCATGCAAGTAGCCTGCCTCTGAAACGTAATACTACTGCCGTCTTGAAAATGGTTGCGAACTCAGAAAACAATAAATGAGTTAATAAAAAAAATAACAATAATAATAATAATGGATGCATGGACAAATGAAGTGACACAAGCTTTAACTGCGATCTGGTCGGAAGAACCAGAGATCAGGACAGCATGAAAAGAAAGTATTTTGTATAATATACTAGGACAGCACAGTATTAGGAAATTCCTAAGTATTGCAATGCGATTTTGTTGTAATAAATATTGGGGCATTTATATAACAGAAGCTGCAGCCTGTAACTCTGGCCATGAAAGCTGAACCTGTCAAAGACATGGACTGGAGCACAGTTTCTCTCCCACAGCAGTGTCCCTATTGGTCTAACAACAAACGATTCCCACTTTAGTCAGCTGGGATCCTATAACTCTTCCCAGAATCATCCAGTTTACTTACATTCACTGTTTATTTATTTCAGCCTGTATTACATCCCAAGCTGCTTCTGACTTTACATACTTGTAAAGTGTCTTGAAATTGTCTTGCATGTTGTATGTTAAACCAGGCCAAACCCACCAAGACTGATTCCTTGTAAGTTTAATAGTCAGGACCAATAAATGATTTGAGTTGTGTTTGTACTGGAGCACTAGGTATAGCATGAGGTCACATGATGCTGACCATCACAGAATCACAGCAGTTTCCTCTAAATAAGTCACTGTGCAAGATGAGTGTTATGTGATGAGGGTGGTTATTGTGACACTGTCCTCTGTCCTGCATTTCTGTGCCCTAATCGCGTGTCCTTACCCTGACAGCAACCCTAATCCTGTGTACCTTGGGATCCCCTCCTGATCTTGGCACCAATGAGAGAGCCTGTCCCCCTGCTTTCTGCGTCCTTTCAAATCACTGGCAAACCGTAACAGAGCAGCCAGGCTAATCAGCCAAGTCGACCGGCTGCCAATGCGCTCTGGAGCAGCAGATGTGACATGTTTGTTTCCCCAGCGCATTATGGCTGCTTTTATTTTCAGTCTTCCGCTAATCGCTAATCCAACATGGCCTTCCCTTGGCTGCTACGCCTCATTGCTGTTTCCAAAGCTACTCAGAGTTTAATAACATGGGTTGGACTTACGTATCATTTGGAGAGTATTTCTGCTATAAATCATGAAGAGTGTGAGGACAGCAAGTGCTGACGCGACAGACTGTTGGCTGGTGGCTAATATCGCTAATAGCTGTCAGCTGGTGGCTAACAATGCTAATGACTAATTGTCTCCAAAGAACAGTACGCTGTGGTCGCAGTGGTGAGACATGGTGTTCCCCTGAGGGGCTGCACCAGAGGGCCTCCGCAATGCGAACCGGCCAAGGCGGGAGTCTGAGGCCTTACCGTGTCGCAGAGCGTTTTGAGCGCTTCCTTCAGGCTCTCTGCAGAGCGCTGCTGGGCGGCCTGCATCAGCTGGTCGGCCAGGCTGAAGATCAGGGGCTGCAGCTGACTGAGGCTGGCCAGGACCCCCCGAGCCTTGGCTGTGTCCTCAGGGGAGAAGTAGATGCACTGGTACGTGGTGCTGAAGCTACGTCGTCAGGAGACACCGTAGTGAGTGCTGGACCGCAGCCGCTGGTAATATGCACATTACACTACATCAAACAAACGCTCGTCCGACTACAGAAGACATGGTCAAATTATTTAACCTGTAGCTCCTTGGGATCTGATAGACTCTGTAATTCAGTTCATACTCTCAGTGATAAGAAACGCTTGACTTTAGTTCAACTGCAGAAATTCTTATTTGGCCATGATAGTAAACTGGTGTTGAGGGGCAGGAGAATTAAGGACTGAAATTGAAGAAACTCAAGCCTGATAAACAGAAGCCTGATTGTTATGAGAAACAGAAGCTTGTGCAGGAAAGGCCGGCTCACGCACTAACCCATGCCTACAGGCTGACGCAGCGTTTATTATTTAGTGTAGTGACTGTTTGTGGCCAACAGGGGGCCCCTGTGCAAACACTGCCACTGATACCAGGGGTGTGTCCGAAATCGCGCACTTGCGTCAGTGCACTGAGATGTAGTGCATAGTGCGCACTGCGCACTTCCTTCTGTAGTGCACACTACCATGGGTAAGTGCTGTCCTAAATGGAACACTAATGTTTTGCACTTACCGGAAGTGACGGGCTAGCATTTGATCACGATTCTCCAGCGCGCCAAAGTATCTGCTCTGTTTTGTTTACAATGAATTTCCTTGTGGTTTTATTTGTGGGCATATAACCTATCTACGATCGCCTAACCGGCTAAAGAACTGCTAACATTTACGTGTGCAAACTCTTCTAAGTCGATATAATCACAAACTCAAACAAATTATCTATAACTGTCGTCAGAGTGACAGGCTACACACCGCAGTATACATCAGTAAAATAATTTTATTAACGTTACTTAGATTTATATGAAGCAGTTGCCTCCGCTTGGGCTTAAGTGTCTGTTTTGTTGTCCGTCTTAATTTAATAATAAAAACTTGCCGAAAGTCCATCCCCTTCCGCTACGTAGTCAAAATGGCGTCTGTTTAGTGTGAGTAGTGTCCATCATTCTGCACTGCGTTTTCTGGCCGTTTTCAGTGCATCATCCGGCTACTTTCAGTGCACTGAATTTTAGCTTTGTTGTCAGTGTGAACGCACTATGCCCTAAAATCGCGCACTAAAAGTGCACAAGTGCGCGATTTCAGACACACCCCAGGTGTTATGAGAAACAAGAGCTTGTGTGGAAGAGGTCAGCTCATGCAGAACTGAGCTCTTTGAAGGCGGAGGATTTACGCTAAAAAAAATGTCAGTGTGTTCTGGCGTGTACAAGAGGTCAGACCGTATTTCACGTGGAACAAAACAAAACAAACGGATCGGCGTCCTTGTAAGGCTTTGAAGTTCACTTTCTTCTAAGGCTGATAAGATCAGCCTTGGCCTGTATGGTTCAGGCTCCGGTCAGATAAGGAAGCCTCATTATTTTTTTTAATCTGCTGTGATGGAGACAAGTATTTTTTTGGCAACGCTCTAACCGAACCCTCTGAACGCAAGATAAATCTGTAATTGTCTCCTTGCAAAACAGACTTCAGACCTCAGAGAAACGGATGGTTTTGAAGAAAGTCCGTGATTAAAAGAAGCTTAATGAGATCATGGCCAGTGAGCTGTGGGGGGAGGCGCCTGCAGGGTTTAGTTAGAAGCAGATAAAAAATGGAGGCATTTAGGAAGCGGGTCCATGTCTGCAGCTACCTCTGTGGCATGGTACCGTTATCAATCTGCATCCTCCACACCCCCAGCACCTCGGAGGGGCAGTCTGCAGGGGGTGGGGGCTTCACACTGGGCCAAATGAGTCCCAGCAGGACCGACCCGGCCGGAGACGGGCCGCAGGAGCCGGCTTGGGCAGGAGGTAAACAGCAGGGAGGAAGGTGGTTAACGGTGCCACCGCCATCACAGATAGAGAAACGGGCAACGGCCTCCATTATCCTGGGATTCCAGCCAGGGGTGGGTTTGCTGTTCTCTAGGCCCCGCTCAAAAAGTCACTTTTGGGCCCCAGCACCCCCCCCTCCTCAGTTATTTAAAAAAAAAAAATAATAACTAGCTAGAAAGAAGAGTCAAAAAACAGTAGCTAGTTAGCTGGTTAGCAGAACACACCGCTTCAGCATCTCATAAATGAGGAATGTGTTTGTTTAATATTTAGTGTAGTTACTGTTTATGGTCAACAGGGGGCCCCCACGCAATACCAGTGTCATGGCCCCAAAATATGACTCTGTTGCACTATTAGAGTCACACATAGAAACCATGAATTTTGCAGAATGAGCATGTTTAGGTAGAGGAGGACACCTTGAGGAATATTGTAGCATTATCTGAAGTACCGTGTGGTATCAGTACCTCAGTCTGATGTCTGCTCAAGCATGCACTCAGAAATTACAGGTATAATGAATGATTCGTTTTTATTTTAAAATCCCAAAAGCATTCAACGTGATGGAACTGCTGTATGATATCATCTATCGTTAAATAAAAGGTTTGATTAGCAGAATGAAAAAAAAAACCCACATGCCTCTGGGCTCATTTTGCAGTTGCTGTTTCTGTTTGACCCTCTTTCAAGATTTCCCTGTGATTCATTAGGTGCCCGGTGATGGGTTGGCGCCCCCTCCTGGGTGATCCCCCGCCTTGCGCCCATAGCCTCCAGGATCAGCTCCGGACCCCCCACAACAGTGATTAAGACAAGCAGTTACAGAAAATGGATGAATGGATGGATGGATAATTTATCAGGTCTCATCATCATATTTGCACCGATCTTCCTGATCAGTAACTGGTCAGTAAAAGGCCAGTGGTAGCAGGCCGGAAAGGTCAGACCTCTCGTTCCAGGACCATAGACTTCACCTCATTCTGAAGCATCCCCAGTCATTCCCAAGGCAGCTGGGAGATAAAATCAATCCAGCGTGTCCTAGGTCTTCCCTGGGACCTCCATCCAGATATTTCCCTGTACAACCTTCTACGTGTCTTCTGATCCCTGTTTAAAAACCGAAAACCAGTGCAGAAGTAATTTCACCGCCTGCCTTGCAACCTTGAAGGGATGCGTCGATCACGTCCCCTTGATGGCAGGCGGTGGTCTCCGACCATCTCCACATGATGTCACCTAACTCTGGAGGATTTCCACTATGGAGCTAATTTAATAAATGACAAATAGAATCTGGGATCCCCTGGAATGATTCTATGCTCAGCCTGCAGCAAAAGTGAGCCAATGTCTTATTTCACAGGAAAGTGGCTTTTACTTCACACAGTCAGGGGAAACTCCAACCAAAGGAG